TTGGATGATGAGGAAAGAAACCATTTTGCTGGCAACCATAGAGACTTTTATTCGGGAGCAAGACTGGATCCTCATGCCCAGAAATCCTTTAATATGATGGGGTGATGTTGCCACTGGCTTTAGCTGATTGTCAGATCGATTGTGCCACCAACACGGGTTTTCAGTAGTATGGATCAACCTTCATCTCCGTTCGTTCTGGTGAATCATACTTAGAATCAACATGCAAAATTTCAGGATCATGTTGACCAAGTAAGAACAAGTAGTCAAATTATTTGCCTTAGCTTTGGGAAGAAGTCCCACAGGTTTCCCTTTCGGCTGTCCAGTCGAGTCTCTGTGGTCTGCTGCCTATCTCTTGTGTTGGATGTTGTCACAGCTGTGGAGGGTGCTGATGCAGGATTAGACGGCTGCTGTTGCCACTACTCGTGACCTTTTGTACGATATCCTCACTCGACCCACCTTGAAAGGCAAGGATTTAAGCATCATCAAAGCAATATGAGACCCTATGTAGAGTTGGCAGAAGATTCATCAGAAATATCTACCACATTTCTATACCAACAAGTAGTTCAGGGCAATGCTCCCTCTAAGCTGTGGAGTCTTGTGAGCAAAAACTCTACTTTGTGAGCTACTGGAATTAAAGTTGTGAGCGAGCGATTTGGCTACTGCATAAATTAGTTTGCTCTGGAGCCATCCTTCCTGAGCTAAGACAAATATGCGTGAGCTGGAGGCTGAAAAAAATGTGAGCTAGCTCACACTAACTCAGCTTAGAGGGAACACTGGTTCAGGGTAGTATGTGTAGGGTTCCTGCCCGTCATTTTATCTTTGAACCCAGCTCTCTCCTGAGTGAAAGTCCAAAATTCTAGTCGTTCTCTAGGCATCACATAGTCTGCACCACTTCAGAGCAGGACAGGATACACAAGCAGTTATCACGTGTATACCCATATATAGAACGATCTCTGCACATACAGCAATTATGTAAAGGTTGTGGGTTCTTCTACCATGTAGACAGGCCCCTTTAGGTAAAGATTATGAACCTGGTATCTGCAATACTTTCTGGGTAAATAAGCACAAAGATTCAGAATGATACTGAACATGAGAAAAGAGGGGGGGAATGAAATAGAATCATAGAATGTTAGAGTTGGAAGGGACCTTGCAGGTCATCTAGTCCAACCCCTGCACTCTGCAGGAGCATAGCTGAAAGACAGCCCTACATACCTACAACATACCCGAAAGATGGTCGTCCAGCCTCCGCTTGAAAACGTCCAGCCAAGGAGCATCCACCACCTCTTGAGGCAGACTTTTCTCTCTTGTTCATAATTGGGGGCATCATATATCTCTAATCACTATGGATGGCTCCACTGTGCATATAAAAAATCCACACGATGGGGCTAACCAGGGCTAGGGCAGACGATTCTGCAAACACAGGGGAACATCCAGGCTTAAGGAAGCATCTTAATCTTTAAAAAGGGAATGATTAAATAACACATAAAATACCTAAAATAATGTTAAAGTGCCAAGATATTGTGGACTTCTTTGTGAGGCCTTGGCTGCCATTTTGGATTGCTTAGGCAACCACAGACAATAATGCCTGTCAAGATTTTGCATTACTAGCTTGCAAGACTTTGGTCATTAGTTGTCCTGCTTTCCAACTGGATGAGGTGAGTTGAAGGGCAGGGAGAAATGGGAATAGGGGAGACTGCTAGGATGAGAGAGAAGCTAAACAGGGACCAGTAAGAGTGAGGGTGTGGATAATTGGGAGTTGAAAAGTGAGGAGACGGCAAGTGTGATGACGCGTGGATAGGGAAGACATCAGGCAGGACCAGCAGGAAGACTGGGGGGACAAAGAATAAGAAGGTGAAGAAGGGAAGCGGAGCTGGAATGGAGAGAGAGGAGAGAAAGCAGAGACCGAGCAAGAGTAAGAAATGGGACCCGGAGAGAGGAAAAAGGAAATTCCTCTCCTCATTGTGTCCTCACAGGTCTCTCGCATGTCCCTATTTAATAATAAAATGTCTGATTCCTTTGTCAATAACGAAAGCTGTGTAATGGTGACACTGGGAAAGAATTAGGGTTGCCAGGTCTGGGTTGGAAAATACCTGGAGACTTTGGGGGTGGATCCAGGAGAGGGTGGGGTTTGGGGAGGGGAGGAGCCTTAGCACAGTACAATGCTATAGAGTCCACTCTTCAAAGCAGCCATTTTCTCCAGGGGAGCTGATCTCTGTCAGCTGGAGATCACTTGTAAAAGCTGGAGATCCCCAGGCCCCACCTGGAGGCTGGCAACCCTAGAAAGAATGTAGAGCTATCTACATAGTGAGGGGATGTACAGAAAATATGACTTTGTGAATTAACCCAAAGAAAAGGGAAAGAAAAAAACTTCAAAACTGGCCTAAGAAAGACTGGATATGCTTCAGAAAGCTAGAATGTTGAGAGTCATGCAAAATGGGAGGAAGAGCATCAAGCCCCAAAAAGGTTAGAAAATCCTGGAGGGGGAGATTTTGGATGGTAGGCTGGGACTTCCAAATTGTCCCCCCCCCCAAACACACACACTCAATTCCTCCTGCACCCCGAGCTTGCACCCCATATTACAACAATATGGAAACAAATCACATGAGAGAGGAGTTTCTGAAAAGCTCCATCAAGGACTCTCTGTGCATCTTCCAGCAGTCTCCCATGTTGCACTGTTGCACCAGCAAAGGTTTGTTCTGAAGTGTCAGGTGTCGTTACCTCATTTGAAATTAGTTCCCAGCACTCTGTGTCTTGATTTGCAGAATAACAGGACGTTCAAGTGGGCATGGGGTAACGTTAAGAGCAGAGGGGGCTGCTGCGAAGGACACGGGCCATGTGTTGACCCTACAGAAGGCTCTGCCTTTCGTAACATGGTCTGTGAAACTGCCCCAACAACATAGGCTTCCAGGAAGGGCTGGGAAGCTCTTGGGAGATGGATCAAAGGCATGTTTCCCCCCCAGAATTTAAAAAGGGCACAAAAGGAATTCAATTGTTAGCCATCCTACCAACAACAGAAAGTTTCCTTCTCAGACTGGGGCCATTTTACTTGATGCCAAGATCTCAAGTGTTGAAAACTGGGCATATCCTGTTGTGTTTTGAGAACATTATCTCATAAAAGAGAGATTCTGTGCAGTGACAAGAATCAAAAGGGCATATTTAATAATAAACTAGATCTTGTTCACGCATTAGACATGGTAGTGACAAAGAAGCATAATAAGAAATCCAGTGTGAGATCTCACCTATGAACTCTCAGGGCAGCCTTATTTATTTACTATAATCTTTCTTCCTCCAAGACGTTTCGGGGGAGCATACATTGTTTGCCCCTCCTCTGTTGTATCCTCATGACAATCCTGTGGGTTTTGTTAGCCCGAAAGAGAGTGACTGGACCAAGGTCACCTGGTGAGTTTCATGGGAAAGTGGGGATTTGAACTTGGGTGGGGCATTCCAACCACTACACCACTCTGGCTGTACTTGAGAAACTACGATCTCTCAGTCCCTCTTCTGTAATAATAACGTTGCTTTACGGGCTACTTGCAACAATTCAAAACAATTTGACCCCGTATTTATGGTCCTGGGATGTGGAATGGTATGGTAGAGTCCAGTTTTATCAGATCCCAAAAGTTATGCAGGGTCAGTACTTGAATGGGATGGCCATACCTTGGATGGCCACCAAGGAAGACTCTACAGAGGCAATGACAAACCACCTCTGCAAAGCCCCTTGCTGGGGTCGGCATAAGTTGGTTGCGACTTGATGGCACGTCAATTATATATATAGGAGGAGGAGGAGGAGATTGGATTTATACCCCGCCCTTCACTTGGAGTCTCAGAGCGGCTTACAAACTCCTTTCCCTTCCCCTCCCCACAACAGACACCCTGTGAGGTGGGTGGGGCTGAGAGAGCTCTTAACAGAAACTGCTCTTTTTCAAGGACAGCTGTGCCAGAGCTTGTGACTGACCCAAGGTCACATCAGCAGGTGCAAGTGGAGGAGTGGGGAATCAAATCCGGTTCTCCCAGATTAGAGTCCGCGCACTTAACCACTACTCCAAACACATCTCACCATAATTATGGTGCTGGGCAAATTATTATCTTTTAACCAAAGTTCCCTAACTTCAGAATGGGAATAATGGTGATTTACCATGAGAGCAAAATAACATGTAAAAAGTCCTGTGTTTCCATATACACCTAAATATTTATTACATTTTAATCCAACCTTTATTTCACAGAATTCAAATGGAGTTCCATGATGCTCCTTTTCTCTGTTTTAACCTCACAATAAGTCTGGCTTGCCATCCTCTAGGGGCAGCCTGCAGTCTTCCTTAAATTATAACTGGTCTCCAAACTAAGGAGATCACTTCCCCTGGAGGAAATGGCAGCTTCAGAAGGCAGACTGCATGGAATTCCTGCTGAGCTCCCCTGCTCTCCTCAAACCCTCCCCCTCACCAGGTTCCATCCCCAAACCTCCAGGAATTTCCCATGCCAGAGTTGGCAGCCCTACAATAAACTCTGTGAGGTAAGTTAGGTTGAGAGTGACTAGCTCGCATTCATCCACTGAGCAGCGATTAGAATCTTGGCCTCTCAAGTCCTAGCGCAACTACTACACCACACTAGTTGACCATCACGCTGCTTCTCCCACCAAGTTGTTGTTGTTCAGTCGCACAGTCGAGTCCGACTCTTCGCGACCCCATGGACCAGATCACACCAGGCCTTCCTGTCTTCCGCCGTCCTCTGAAGTTGGCTCAACTTCATGTTCGTTGCATCTATGACACTGTCTAACCATCTCATCCTTTGCCGTCCCTGTCTTCTTTGACCTTCAATCTTTCCCAGCATCAGAGTCTTCTCCAAGTAGATGCTTAAATAATAACATTGGAGTAATATTCAAGGAATAATAATATTGGAGTAACATTCAAGACTGGTATATGTTATCTCATTGAATGACTACCAGATCTAGCAATGTTATTTATTTTCTGATTCGTAACACATTTTTTCCCTTCTCACTCCAGGTGCCATCTTGTCCACAAGTCGTAACACACCAAGTCCCATCGATCCCGAAACTATTCAGGTTCCCGTGGGGTATGAACCAGACCCTGCCGATCTTGCCCTTTCAAGCATTCCTGGCCAGGAGATATTTGACCCTCGTAAACGCAAGTTCTCTGAGGAGGAGCTCAAGCCCCAGCCAATGATTAAGAAAGCCCGCAAAGTCTTCATTCCAGAGGATCTGAAGGTAAATTGGGACTGGTGACCAGGCTGCGGAAACTGTCCTAAAGATTAGGTTGATACAGCCTTGAGACTAAACCATTTTGGGTAGACGAACACAATTAGACCTGCTTGAAATGTTTTTGTTCTGCAAAGTTCTGTACTGCGTTGCTTTTGAATGATAACACATACGTCATTTGTGCACTGAATGTGGACTGCTCTTTAATCGTTCAGGCATGACATGGACACCAGACTCAGCCTTAAGGCTTTTGAAATTCATGTAGGACAAAACCTTTGGACTTGGGGGGGGGGATAGTGGGCTTTTGGCTTATGGAGCAGGATGGGACTTCAGTCCTGAAGGCACATGATCCGGCAACTGTGTTGAAACTAAGCAGATCGGTGTCTTGTTTAGTGCTCAGATTACCGGTAGGGGGAAGGAGGCTGTATCCCTTTCCTCTTGAAACCAGCTCCTTTAGCTACTGTTGTAGAAGGGACTAAGAACAGGTTTGAAGAAGTGTCCTGTCTCTTCAGAAGAAGCTTAATGGGATGTTATTTACTGGTGTTGGTGGAAAGGGCTATCAAGTTGCAACCCCTTAAGGGTTTTCAAGGCAAGAGATGTTCAGAGGTGGTTTGCCATTGTCTGCTTCTGCATTGTGACCCTGGACTTCCTTAGTGGTCTCCCATCCATGTACTAACCAGGGCTGACCCTGCTTAGCTTCTGAGATCTGATAAGATATGGCTAGCCTGGTTAGTTGTTCATTAAGTGGCCTTATTCACCTGCATGTCATGTAAAGGTTTAACTGCTCATTTCCACACTTTTAACCTCTATTAAAGGGATGGGACATTTTGTCCTCCAGGCCAGTTGGCATCCCTATCCAAGAGGACCATGATTTGGATGCCCTGCCTGAATCTCTGCATTGTCTCTCTCTGTGGCCCTTGGCCTGGTTGAGGAGTACAGGATGGACTAGCTTTTCAGGGAACATTTGGAGCTTTACTGGGACAGGAGGATGTCACACTCTGAGGGTGGGAATACTTGTGTCCACAAGGATGCATATCTGGATCCAAGACTGTTTTCTACCACCTAACCCATGCCAAAGTACTCTAAGATCCTGACTCAAGGAAAACAAATTAGGCTACACACACGCATACACACATGGCACAACTTGGAACAGTGGTGTAGAAAAGACCTCCAAATATTTCCTGAGCTGGAAGAGCTGGAAACTTTCTGTGAGGCTCTGTGTTCATATCTCCTGACCACATGGAGACATCCAATTTTTGTTTCTTCTGAAACAGCAGTAAAGGTTGCCTTGGCTCTCATCGGATTTCTTGGGCAAAACTCTCTCCTGTTGCTGTTGCGACTGAGCATTGGGTGCTGAGTTTTGGAAGAGGCTAAGCAGATTAGGCGAGTCAATCATTTCTGGGCTGCATGTGATTTTCAGGTGCCAGCCCAACTTCTTTGCAGGCCTGGATTAAGGGATTGGCCTTTGTAATTGGTTAAAATAAAGATGTACGTGGCCTGGGTGGCACAGGAATGAATCGATTAAAGCTGATTTATTTATTTTTTACAGAGAGGAATGAAATAGGAATTTTAAAACCAAGATGTAGGTTATGAGGCAGGTTTTTCTCTCTCTCTTCTCCTCCACTTTTGACGTATGTAAGTGCAAGGTGCTTTCAAGGCAAGTGAGAAACAGAATTGGTTTGCCATTGCTGGGGGTCTCCCATCCAAATACTGACTCTGCTTAGCTTCTGCGATCTAACAATATTGGGCTATACCATGCCGCCTGCCTTCCTTCTTCCACCTCTTACAAAGGGGAAAAACAGCAACAGAAGATTTAGACTGCAATCCTCAAAGAAGGGTATTGAGGTCAGTGGTAAAATTTTGAGGACTGAACATGAGGCCTAGAAGCCTTCCAAATGGAAGTTCATAATATGCAAGGCACCTGATTGAGATAAACAGAACATAGAAATTGTGGCTGTGTCCCGGTGCCAGGAGGAAAAAAAGAGAAGGCCAGTACCAAATTTTCAGGTCAATAAAGGCAAACCTCTAAAACAAAATAGGTTTCTGTATTATCTGGAGCACTCCACATAATCTTGCCTGATGTATTTGAGGCACTATATACCATCAGGGGAAAACTGCACATCATTTTTTGTCACTTTGATGGAGAGTTCCTTTTTCTTGAGAGAGCTTGTAGTTCACGGAGAGCATTGGGCAAACAAACCTAACCACAGTTG